AATCGGTTATATCATGCCAAGTAAGAGAAGCTGAGAAAATTAATTATATTACGTTTATGTGTCACACACATAGATTTTTTCAATGTGATACAAATGAAATTTATGTGTGACACACATAATTGCTTTCATTCGAAGTCGAGTATTAGTACAAGATACTCAAGAAGTCTGCACTTTGTAGACGAAATACGCGTATTTGCCAAGGATATGCATATAAGGTAGTAAATGGAAATTACTAATCCTTCTCTCTTTCTTTATACAATTTAAAATGTGATTTCATGTAGTACTCGAGTAGACCAACAACTTATAGTAGGTCACTTAAAAGTTCATTTTTTTTTAATTTGTAACAATTTGTTATGGACAAGAACGGTTCTCCCGGCATTCTGACTAAACTGATCAAGGCTACGTGGATCCTAAACAACATACAAGTCCGGAGTGATTCGAGATTTGGTCGTAATTGCATTTGTAAACAAACACGTCAATCACCGATTTCTCGCGAATAAAAGCTCAATCTCGAAAAGTAATAACATTACAAGGTAAAGGAATGATTCCTCTATCATTTGGTATAGTTTGTTTGTGAGATTGAGCTTATATTCAAGAGAAATTAGTAATTGACGTGTTTGTTTACAAAAGCAATTACGCCCAAATCTCAAATCACTCCGGAAGTGTTATATCAGTTTATATAAGCTTTGCATGACTGGTTTAGGTTGTAAAGAACACAGCAAATAAACAAATAAATTTTAATATTACATCTAAGAGGATGCACTTCAATCATCTCGAAAATCTCATGTAATTTTTAAGGCCACAAAAATAAACAAATGCGGTAAAGCAACGTAATATCATTTCATGCACTGTATTAGAGATAATTTTGTGGTTTTTGGCAAGTAATATTACACCATATTTTTGACACGATTGAAGTGCATTCACTTTGATGTGATATCAAAATTATTTTTTTGCTGTGAAGCTTACACAACATGATTACATGTATATGTGTTTCTTGGGATGGTGTACAGTTCGCATTTGAAAAACGTAAAGGACTTCGACAAGGTGACAGGCTTCAACATTCTAGCACGATCTTCATAAATCCAACCAGCTGACAGCGGTCCTTATTACCGATGCCAATTCACGGTGAAGTGACAACTTATCACTCACGGTGAAGTGATTCCCATTTGATTTACATGGCAGTCACTTCACCGTGAGTGACAAGTGATCACTTCACTTCGGTTTTTAACCGTGATGTGACACCCGTAATAAGGGCCAACGTTAGCATTATCGGAAGAACGTTCCAGGCGGTGACAGAGCAGTACACCACAATAAAACGTAAAGCAGATGAAGATTCTCATGTAAGGTGAATACGTCGAAGACTAATGGCGAATTCGCGTATTATTCAGTTCCAACCTGGATAGTTGGTGCCCGGGTCTGCTTGTTTTTTGACTAACATAAGTTTGATCTTTTGTTTTTAAAATCTTCCTCAGGTTGAGGTTTGCATTGACAAAAAGTTCGGTTTTGCATTGGGTTGGGGCTGGTTATAGCTCCGATAAAATACGAATTTGCTATAAGCATCTACTGACTGGAGAAACCAAGAGCCATAATGCTTAAATAGGCGGAAGAGTGATAATCGACGGATATGAGCTCAAGGCGATGGATGAATTTGTACCTCGGATCATTGATGATGTTGTATAACAACTGCAGTAGAAAAATTTGGCATTGCTGCCGGAAGTTGTGGTTACTACGGAATCCAGAACTATAAGATGGTTGGTATACTTCCCCCCATCTTAACCTTAACATGTAAAAGATGCTGCGGACAAAATATAGCCTCTGAACCAGCGTATCTAAGCTTCATTTGAGCGAATTTTTTCTTTATCTATGTGAATTTACTTTTGAGTAAAGCCTTTTATTCTGGAATTTGTTTTTTTTTTATGTTGTGTAATATGTTTTCATCTCCACAACTTAGTAAAAGTATCCTGAAATCATTACATCGTAAATAGAGTTAATATGAATCTGTTGTCGATGCGTTGATTCTCATTTTCAATCATTAATTGCCCATTTTGAACCACGTTAGACTCCTGTGCTACCAATAATTGCTCAGTAATATTTTTAAAACTTACTTATTTGAAAGCAGTGCACATAAAACAAATTTCTCTTACATTGAGGTTGGAATTAATACATCCTCTGTATATGTTTCATGCTACAAAACCTTCACGGGATGATTTTCCAGACGCAATGCATTTGGGGAAACAAACTTGGTTCGAAACGTAGGCTAAAATAAAAATTCCAAAATTATTTTAAAAATCTTTCGGTGGCCACATTACAGAACCTGTTCTTGTCGCGAAACATTGTTAATTCTGCATACTTTTCATGCAAATCTGTAATAAAATCTTACATTTCTCGGTTGGGTGCAAATTAGATTGGGTCATCGTTATATGGAAAAACGCAAAATTTACCTCACAAATCGAGAGCAACCCTTTTTTGGTTCCATTTGGAGTCGCACATAACTGTGCAAAATTTGGGGACGATTGGTTGAAACTCGGCTTTCCGCATTGCGTTTGAAATTAGTATGGGAATGCATTTTTATCCCTAGAGACCACAACTTAGCATGAACAGTGCCACTAAGTATGTACAAATATAGTCGAAGAAGTGCCTAACAACTTTGCCAAAGGAAGTACGGTGCTAGAATGTATCTAAAAAAGTTATAATTATCCAAATATTTATGGTTTGAATTAAACACCAAAAGTCTCTTAGTTGGAGAAGGGGGGGGGGGGGTTAATAATATACCCCGTCCTCCTCACTATTGGTTTCAAACTGAAATAACTTCGGAGTTTCTTATTTAATCGATTCGGTATGTTCAGGATGAATTATTCAAAAAAAAATTGCTAAATCTCATAAGCGTTATTAGAGAGTGGGTAGGGGGGGAGGGCAGTTTGTAAAACGAAAATTTGTTGTAGTGTAAATATTTAATATCCACTTGTCCGTACATTTGTTCGTGAGGAGATGTTTATTAATTGATTGCTAATGATTATTAGCAGCTGGAAAATTTTAAATTTCTCTACAAAGCTTTTATTTGAAATATTCGGGCCACCCGCATATAGAAAACACAGAAGTAGTCGTACGTCAAGAACCAAAAACAAGAAAAAACGAAAACTGTCTTCACCAGTTTCGTCTCAGACACAGGTACAGTCGGATTTCGCTACCTTAAGTGGGCTATGTTTCAGTTAGGCTCCCAAGCCAAACGTCACTTCTAACAGTGCTGATTCCTTTTCGAAATTTCGACCGGCTTCATGCAAAAACCGACAAACGAGTGGAGTAATGATACAGATTATTTCAATGCGATACAACGAGTTGCTTTCTTGATGGTTGTCAACGATATGGCTGAATGCGGGGTGAAGCTAATTTCCGACTAATCATGAAATCCACCCGAGACCTATAGTTCAACAGTAATATTTGCTTCAAGGGATAGAACAGCATCAAAAAGAGTACCCTGAGCAATCGTAGAATATATTGAAATTAAATATAATCATTACAATCCAATGACATTTGTGTGAATATATCTGACATTGTATATTGCACCAAAAGAGTAGGGAAAAGAATGGTAGTACTCGCTTTAAAACTGCTCTTATGAGATTAAGCAAATGTTTTTGAATAACCCATCTGAACAACTCGAGAGATGGGAAACTCCGAAGATATTTTAGTCTTTATCTTTACTTTCATTATTATAAGTGAGGGCTGGAAAGCATGCAGATGGCCCCCCATTAGACTGATGCAAAATTTGACTTTTTCGCTCCACAGTGCTTAAATGGGTTCAAATCGGGTCCTGATTAGCCTCCCAAAATTACAACTCATTTGGTTAGAAACAGGCTTCGCACAAGCCATTTGAAGTTTACATGTAAATTACTATGGGAAATCTCAACTTTTTGTTCATTGCCTTCTAGTATTTTTCCATATTGAGCTGCGAAACAGTTCTATAGCTATTTTTATAGAAAATTTTCTCAGCTACAACTTTGCTCAAGATTGTTTCTATGTAAAACGAGACAGGAAAAAGTTATTAATTATTTAAGAGATTGATAAACTTATGACATGATCAACAGCTGCTCTGTAGGCTACACTGTATTTTGCAGTGTTACATAGTAGCCATGATTTTTGTGTCCTATTCAACGCCGCAGAAACACCAATGTTGCCTGCTGAGCAGTTGCTTGAGCATGATCACATCAGCGCATTGAACCATTGATAACTTTCGATCCTTGCATTTAATCAAAAAGTGGTCTTGAGCATAGTTGTAGCTGGGAAAATTTCCTACAAGAACAGTTGAAAACTTTTGAAGCAGACCGATATGGTGAATTATTAGATAGACATGAACAAAAATCTTGGTTTTACCATAGTAATTCCCATACAAACTTCAAATGGTTTGTGCCATCTCAGTTTCTCACCAAATGGGTTCAAATTTTGAGAGGTTAGTCAGGATCCGATTTGGAATCGTTTAAGTATTGTGGAGCGAAAATTTCAAATTTTGCATCACTCTAGCCCCCCATATCTAACTACGCCTATTAAATGGGACACATGTTTTTGAATACATCTGAACTTTCCAACTTGACAATATCAGAAACACCAAAGTTTTACTTCCAGTTATATGAGTGAGGGGGACGGGGGTATAGTTAGCCCCCCCCCCTCATCTCTTAATATGCCTATGAGATTGAAAAATTGTTTTTGAACATTCCAAATCGATAAGATAAGAAACTCCGAAGTTATTTCAGTTTGAAACTTTACTTCTATTAATATGAGTGACCCCCCATCCCCCTCCAAATACGCATATGAGATAGATCTATTGTTTTTGAATTTTTCATCTGAACATACCAAACCGATAAAATAATTAACTTCCAAATTATTTCAGTTTGGAGTCTGACTTTCATTGGTACACCGGCAGTGTTGGTAGAAAATGGGATTTTTGACATTTAATTCGAAACATTGATATTTGAACAGCTATAACTTTGTTTAGGTGCATTCTAGCACAATAAATACTTGAGAAAAGTAGTTAGGCACTTCTTGGGCTATACTTGAACGTATTTAGATGCGTGGTTTGTGCAAAATTGTGGTCCCTAGTAATAAAGATGCAACCAAGTAGGTTTTCCCATCCTAATTTCCATACAAATTTTAAACGTAATGCGGAAAGCCCGGTCACAACCAATCGTCCCCAAATGTTGCACAGCTGTTTGGGACCCGAAATGGAACCAAAAAAACATTTTTCTGAAAAATGATCATGACCCATTCTAGTGCATATGCTAACAAAGTATAGTTTCCAAATAAATCATATGGCTGAAAAAAGCCTTTGTACCAAATCAAATCGTCATCTTTATGTAGAAAAAGCACTTAATTTAAATTGAAACCTAGATATGGTGGTTTTAAGCTGGCTATATGTTGTCATAAGATATCCATCGAGACAAGGAAGATAGTTTAGAATGAACCTGTCGTTTGTCCCATGACCAATTTTTGGTGTGTACACTGTACATTCTTTATTAGTAAAACCTGTGATACCTCTTCCAACTCGCCATATAAACTTAAAGCATGCTTTGGGATCTCTGTTCCATTTTTTATGATTTTTTGCTTGGATTCACATTTCTAGGTTATGTGTCAAAACATGGGTGGCAAGAAATTATCTCAAATCAAACATATACCTTCGCTAATGGACAGCCCTGAGTTCATAAACCTTCGCTTTCCCAAGCACCATGCAGCATACCAAACAGCACAATTTCCCCACTGCTGCGGGGTGATACCGGGCAAACCTTTAGAAAATACACCCACGTCGTCGCAGCGTACATTTAGCTATCTACTTCTTCAGACTCTTCGATTATTACTTCATGAACACTGTGGCATGTTGAAATCAGTGGCACTTTCTGCTGACAGGGTGGCGGTGGTGGTGGCATCGTGGCATGTGTCCCCACTGCCACTGCACCGCCACTGCTGGCATTATCGCTCGGTGGCCCTGCACTACTGCTACCGCTGTTACTGCTTCCACTAGCATTCACGTTGTTATTAGAACTACCACTAATATTATTACTACTACCACTACTACTATTACTAGTACTAGCACTGCCAGCAGTTGTTGGCCTCAGCTGGATGGGTACTACGGTAGGCACCTCAGAGGTACGATTCAGTAGATAGTCTAGATCGAGCGATATTCGATCCAGCATACCGTCGATGCGATCCGGATCATCGGTTCCGGTTACGGTTATCACCGGAGCAGCGGCAGAAGACACAGCTGGGTGCTGATTGGTGCCCACTACCGCCACTGGTGGTTGCTTCAGTATGCAGAGTGATGATGGGGGGGATGCAGCTGACAGTTGCGCACCGGATGATGGGTCCAGAACGGTTAGCTTGCTGCCACCGGCAGTGGCAGGATCGGAGATTCCCAGGCCTTTGCTTCGGATACCAATTATGCTGTCTGTTGCAGGGTGAAACAAAAAGAGAACGTTATTAACAAGCGGGGCATGTCGTTTTTAATCTGGCTTAATTTTGAATGTCGTCCTTTGCATGCCAAATTGCATTTTCTTTCGAAAGTATGGCGGTTGGCGAATTGGTTTTCTGTTGAGCATGTAAGAAAATGCTGTTGGTTTTACAATGTGGTTGGATTACGATTGCATGACAAAGGCTGGTTACAGGAGGTAAAAAGTTTCGGTTTCCAAGTTTTGCTGGAAAACAAAGCGAAGTGCAAAATGCCGGGATGTAGCGGTTGTGCATATAGGGTGTATATGTACTGCCGAGTGCCATTACCGCAGTATGCACTAATGAGATATCAAAAGAGGTAAAGTCAAAAGAAGACTCATTAAAATATGCTTACACAAGGCTGTGTGCAAATTTTGTTTGGTTGGATGATTTGGTTCGTAACAGAAAGGGTATTGCAGTCTACTGAATTTTATTTTAATTGTCAGAGCCGTGCTTGCATTGTTACGTGTTCATACCGTAGTGCATCGAATGCCAGATGTACATTCCAATCCGGACATTTATTTTTTAATGATATATGTATTGCTGTTACAGCTGAAAACTGGAAAAACGCACTAGCGAAGAAACTCTCGTTCTATAAGTTGTACATACTGTCGGAAGAAGTGCACTGTAATTGCACACTGATGTGCTATAATGCGCACTACTTCTGACACTATAAAGCAGCTCCACGCCAACTGGCAAACCGATTTTAGTTTTCCCTCGCCGAATTCCATGAAACTTCGTATAATTGTTCACTAGGGGCAATACATTTTAAAGATTTTTATACCTATGATTATTTTAACGCTTATTAAAAATGTTTACTTTTCTGAAATGGACACAATGATAATTTAAAAAAGACCATAATCTTAGCTCAACCAAGCTCGTTTATTTTCAGTTCATAAGATTATTTTATTAATTGAATTACAGTTTCCATTAGATTTTGGCAACAAGACTGTAATGTATTTAATTTACTTACGGTCTGCAGTTTAAAATCTTAACGTCTCTTTGATATTTTGCATGTGAGCATGACCAAATAATTAGGTTTGCCTCTCATCCTCCCTCTCCAACTGGGGAGTTTGGTAAAGAGCAACCCGATTACACTGAAAATGTATTTTCGTTATTTCTCTGAAAACCGTTTCGTAAAAATGAATATCGTACATACAACACATCTTTCATTATAAAATTACGAAACATTTGTTTTTCCTGTCATCTGGCGCAATGTCAATATTACGCTTTATTCGTATAATATACAAATACATCTTCGTACAATCAAACCAACAACTGCGCTTATTGTCTCCTAAAGTGCTGATTGTGTGTTGGAGATGGGATATTTTTTTTAGAAATATTGTCGGTTTGACCAATACATGCAAGCTACCACAATAAATCATCGCAGTGGTTTTATGTTAGAGAAAAAAAAAAATACATGCAAGCAGCAGAAAAAGCAAGAGAAATCGAAGTACCGCTCCATGAGTGATTCTTATTGCCTTTAGATTTACCTTTTCTCATAACACAGTTAGAGCAATGGATAAAGCACAGATCTGACGATCGCAAGGTTCATGATTCGAGTCCGGTCTGTTTCCACAACCAACACTTGTGGACCGCTGGTTGTGTGTAGCGATAGCGAGTGTGACAGTTTTAACGAAACTAGCTTCATACAATGTACAAATCCATTTCGTTGCAGAAAACAACGAATAAATTCGTAGAACAAACGAGTGATTTCGTTGTATAAACGAAATGTTATTTTCAGTGTAGTACCTTCCTCAAAGTTGTCCTTGCTTGTTTTCTACTCTCTATATGCAATTTTCACACTGCCGTACTCTAACGGAACTATTAATTATATACTTTCATCTCCTCATATATCGTATAAAAAATGACCACTTTAGTCTGTTATTTGAAATTAGCATTTTCAACTATGTAAATTGTTGACTTCCCGCAGAAGTAATACTAAACATACAGTCAAAGTACATAACTCTGGATGGGAGCATACCATCAATTACTGTCATTGGTCGAAAGGTACAGTAGCAGCACCTACCCGTGTCCCCTCGAGATTGTCAAGTCGACGATGACAGGAGCACATACCGTAGTAGAGGTAACAAAAGCTGCAATTTCCAAACCTTCGACTGGATGCCTTCCTTCAGATAACAACTGGAGTGCGGTAAAATTGGTAGAACTGTTTCAAACACATAGTCGGTACTTGAGCGTGTCGGTGATCATCTCTTTTTGCCCGCTGATTTCAAATAATATAGGTATAACAACAACAGAGATCATCATTAATGGCAATTGATGGCAAGATTCGACATAGTTCAATTGTTCTGAAACGTACTGTTTTGTTACAAGTACTCAACATCAGGTTAACTTTGACATAAAATTATGTTAACACATAGTAAGGCTTGAACTCGAAAAAAAAAATGCACCATTTTTATCCATGTGTAACTTTTTTATCCGTGGGTAAAAATTGATGAAAATCTGGGTATAACTAGTTTGGAGTGAATTGTTTACATGTGCAAAATTTCATAACAATTGGTTCAGTGGTTATTGAGATGTCATCGGAACAAGAAGAAAATCGCCGGAGAATTTTGTGCGCCGTCATGGAAAATCCGACTGCGACCATGAGATGGATCGGAAGACAACTGGGAATCACCCATACAACTGTGTCTCGGGTGGTAAAATCGTTTAAGGAGTGCCAGACGACCGAGCGGTGGGCTGGAAGTGGAAGAAAATCGAAGACAGCTGACCATGTGAAGGCCCGGAAGGTGTTGGATTATTTCAAGCGTAATCCGAACCTTTCGATTCATGACGCGGCTCTGAAGGCAAAGTGTACCGCCTGGTTCGTTCAGCAAACCATGAAACGAGCTGGGCTTCGTGTTTTCAAGGTCCGAAAGGCACCGAACCGGCGTGATCAACAAAACACGGCGGCCAAATCCCGCGCAAGGAAGCTGTATCGAGAGTGGTTAACGAAACCGATGTGTGATGTTATGGATGACGAAACCTACATCAAGGCAGACGCAAAGCAGATACCGGGGCTGGAGTTCTACGTTGCCAAATCACGGTTTGATGTTCCGGAAGACATAAGGAAGAAGAAAGTGGACAAATTCGCCAAAAAATGCTTGCTCTGGCAGGCCATATGCCAATGCGGTAAACTGAGTAAACCGTACATCACAATGGATACCATCAACAGCAAAATTTACCGCACCGAGTACCTCCAGAAGCGTCTATTGCACTTCCTGCGGTCCCACGGAGGTGAGACATTATTTTGGCCGAACCTGGCATCATGCCATTACGCGCGATCAACGTTGGATTGGTACAGAGACAATAACGTTGTTTTGTACCAAAAACCGCCAACCCCCCAAATTCACCAGAGATTCATCCGGTGGAAAGAAAATCGTCCAAGGTGCTTAAGAACGAGCTGGAGTTGAAGAAAGAATGGATGAAACTGACCAAAAAGGTCGGCTCCACCATTGCACAAAATGTAATGAGGGGTCTTAAGGGAAAGGTGCGGGATTTCAGCGATGGAAAGGAAATTGAATAAAGTAATTATGCCGAAACATAATCCATATGTATTAGTTCATTCCCTGAAAGTTTCAAGAAAATCCGACTTTAAATAAATTTTTGGCGAAAACTTTTGTCTGGTGCATTTTTTTTTTGAGTACAGGCCTTACAAGAGCTGCCAAATGCGTGTCGATTCTGTGGCTGTGGCACAACACGCCTGTCCCGTTGTCGTGAAGCGAGCTTGTTCGCAGCATCGCCACGCATTTAGCAGGTATGGTATTATAACTATTAATATATATTGTATTTCAAGATTTCATTTCCAGAATAAAAGTTCAAAGTGTAAGCATCTTAATTATTCTGTACTTACTTCAAAATATTTTACTCTTAATAATGAAAAACTGGATAAATTCTCAAAAACGGGAAGATTTAATTGGATGCGTCCAAAAAAACTGGAAACATCCAGTTGAAACTGGAATGTGGGCATCACTGGTTGTAGATACCTCCTGCTATGTAAACAAGTATTGGTAAATTACACAACTACTGATCCAAGAGTAGAAACTGTTAGATTCTAAATAAAATAGCTAAAAACGTTATCTTCCGTTTAATTTTGTATAATTTATGTTGGTATCCATCATAGATACGTATTTCGACTACCATGTTCAATCTTCATCAGTGTCATTCCTCCTAAAGACGAATCAAAATCAAATCCCCTTAAGTACTCATCTTCTAGGTAAAAAAGGTTAAGACCACAGGTATAAAAATGAAACTACAACGTGCCGAATCGGAACCTACCTAGCCTAACCAAAGATTTAAGTAAAGCAAAGGAGAAAAATCTATACATCTCTCTAATAAGGACAAATCTAAAAAGGATTGGTAGCCATTATAATGAAATAGTAAAACTCCCATGATTGTTTAGTGAAAGTAAGTATACCATAGCTTGAAACATTATTTGATTTCAATTTTAATTAGTTCACTCGAGAATTTATTTGTATACTAATGAAATCATTAGTCTGGCTAGTTTCTGAATTATAGCCATTTGTTTACATAATCAAACGAATTTTGGTGCAATAATTTTTCGGCACTTGATAAACAACACCCACCTCACCAACTTTTCCCTAATAAATAACTGTTTCGACTACACAATGCTACCGATACTGATTGATTTGATGAAAAACAGGAAAACAAAGCTTTATGAATAAATTACCTTGACCGACGCCTTTCAGTATGTCCAGACCTCCGACTCCGACAAATTCATTAGTCTCCTGCTGCTGCTGTTGAGTGACGTAGCACATTCCGGTGCCAGCACCGGTCTGAAGCGAGAAGGCATCCCGCAGACCACCCCCACTCGGACCTCCGCATGGCACCATCCCCACGATGGATTGCTGTTGCTGTTGTTGGTGCCAATCGAACTGACCTATCACACCACCAGATACTGAGGGAGGCACTGCTGACGTTGCTAAAATGCTAGGATTTTCCACCGGGAGTCCAACGGTTGTATGATGCTGTTGTCCCATCAGTTCGTAACAGCGTGTTTTTGTGTTGAAATTGCATAAACTAGCGGTTCCCGCCACCGCCGGAGAGGCCTCATACTCGTGGGCTACAATATTACAAATGGTGGCTGTGCCCGTTGGAATGCTACCGCCCAGATAGGTCTCTATGCTGTGACCGTCACCATGAATGCATGGCTCGATGGTGGTGATATGCGTGGGCAGCTGCGTTTGATGATGCTGTCCTTGCTGGACCATTTGTTGTTGATGCTGATGCTGCTGCTGTGACTGCTGTGAATGAGGCGAGGGCAGTATTGTCAGCGGAATTTTCGTTGTTTTTCCACCCGAAGGGAGACATTCATTATCCTTATCTAGATCTTGAGTTGTATAAACTGAAAAGATGAAATACAAAAAGGGGGTTGAGTAATTGATGGCACTGCATTGTCCAGCCCCGCTGCGGGGATTTGGTGGTTGAGAACTTACAACTTAACGGACTATTTATTGATCCCGAACAACAGTTGTCGTCTAAACTATTTTTGGTACTAGATTTACTACTGGTTGACTCCGATTCGTGCTTTACTTCAGCCTTTATCACGAAACTGAACAGGATACAGAATCCCTGCGGAAGGAAATTAAAAATAGAATGTTATCGTGAGTTAATCAATCAAGCTTGCAAATGCTCATTACCGCTAAAATGCTATTTATCAGATTTATGAATTTGTATTGACATGATACAAGAAGAGTAGTTGAAGTTGGTGTATAGCGCCCATTACACATATCAATATATTGACAATAAATTGACATACTGACAATATTATTGAAAAGGTGATATTGAAGACGATGATTGATGACAAGTATTGACGAAAAGCTGATTTTAATTTCACTTTGTCAATACTCAGAATGTATTGAAAAAAAGAAACATCAATTTTGCCATTGATATCATCGATATACAAATATTGACAACATTAATGGCAATACGTTAGAAGTCTTTTTTACCTCAATGTATTGAAGTCAATATTACTTGTCTCAATTTCCCCACACAAGAAACATGGATCAGCGAAAGAAAGTGTGTTTAGAGTTCATGTTTGCATTCGGGTCAAACAGAAACGATTGCTGAACTTGTATGTATTGAATATACTAGCTACACACTGAATTCGGTAAATTTTGTCGGGTTTTTGAACAGCTGAAAAAATTGGAAAAATTTCAAATGAGCGCTACTCGAAGGAAATCAATAAAATCGACAAATTGGTTTTGTATCGTTCAAAAGGGGTTAACTAGGTCCGAATATTTTCGGTATAAATTCCCTATTTTTTTTCACTTATTTGTAAACTTTTACCGAACAGTTCCGTAGTTCAAAAATTACCAAACAGCGGAGTCCTGGTTTAGTGGATATATATAGAAACCAACTTTCACCCAACATTTATTTATACTTGCGTATTTCAAATTAATTTTCAGGATTTTTAGAATAAATAGTGTTAAATAATGATCTATTCCAGGTCTACTCTTAAGTTCTCAGAATGATGTAAGAACTAGGTGATTAATTATAGCATCCAATCTTATTTTTGATATCACTGAACTCTCCTGTTTCGTTCGAACAATAATGTTTACCTAATGTTACCCATACATATAGGGGGTTATTCCGAGAGTCGAAGTGATTTTTGTCACTAGTGAAGTGAGATGCAAATCAAATGGAGAGTCACGTTACCCTAGGGGCACGCAATAACCTTTAAGTCCAACGCAGGCAACAAATTAATTCCATTAACTACTGTTTCAATTACAATAATGACACAATATTGAACATTAACTACTTTTTAACTCCATTAATTATAGTCGAAGTTTCGTAATTAAAGTACATTTATTACATTTTCAATACTTTTAATTACATTAATTACGGATAGATAGTTTTAATTACCGTCAGTACTAATTACTTAAAGTACTTTTGATTGCATTTTAACTTTAACGCACCGGTTCTTTGTAGTGCGTGCCCCTCGACGTTACCACGACGTGACTTTTCTTACGTCACTAGAGACAAAAGGCACTTTGACTCTCGGAGTAACCCCCATAATGCTTAGTTTTACCATAATGATACACTTGTTTTATCATGATGAAAATCTTCTTATACGTTCTGGCAAACTACTATTGATGATTATTAAAGTCAACTAATGTGATATGTGATATAAACTGTATTAATGACCACACATATAGTTTATTAATTAACATAGGATGTCACGTGAGCGTCGGTTATTCTGGGTGAGCTGTAAATCCACGGATTTATCATTCATATTGGTATTATTGGTATACCAAATGTTGTAACTTTTTGACAGGACACAGAAAATACACAGGACATGTACTTCCAAATTGATCGAATTTAATCAAATCGATTGTCGAGTGCACGGAATTACTACACATGTGGAATACCCCACGTTAACGGTACGCAGCTTCCCAAATAGAAACTATCATGCTGATGTTTTGGTAAACATTCATAAATGAAAATCATGCATAATAATAATTAATTTACGGTACATGTAGGTATGTGAAACGCTGATAGTATTTATTTTATTTTAAAGTAAAAAAATAACATGATTATGCTTGTGATTTTGTAGAAAATGTACATCCATACAAACGAAGCCAGGTGACTGTAAAAAGATACAGTTTTTATTTAGTATAAAATCGATTGCATATCACACACGAAAATTTAAACAAATGGCAACACTGCATACCTCGCTGCATGCTCAAAGGTGCTTTGTGAGTCAGTCGATCTAAATGACGTACGTTCTCCCTCCTCTAGGGAAGGGAAGAATATTGATAAAGAGAAATGAAAATCAGTTGTTCAACAATACTCTTCATCAATCCATCGTCATCAATATTACCTTTTCAATAATATTGTCAGTATGTCAATTTTCTGTCAATATATTGACCCGTGTAACGAGCGCTTTGGCGTATTGTCATTGATGTTGTCAATATTTATGTATTGATAATATTGTAAGGAAAATTGACAATACAATGTTTGTCAATATATTGACATGTGTAATGGGCGCTTATGACACATAAAACCTGTCAATTAAGCTTTCAGAGGGTCACAATATAGCGATTAGCTGTAACGATGAGTGAGCAATCAGCGATAATAAAATCTCTAATTATAACCTTATGATAGCAAAATTGATAAACTTTGTGTCATACACAAATTTCAACTCTTCTTCTTACTTCTTTCAAATAAAGATCATTAAAGTATCTCATAGTTTCAAAATAACGAAAAATAGCATTTTAGTTGTTATGAAAATTTACAAGCATGGATTCAATAGTTACACACTACACTGATCAGCACAGGTATGGCGGCCTTGAAAGAATCATTCTATCTACAATCGTGATAGAAAACACTTGTGAATAGATCTCTTCGTTTTTCGTTAAATGATCTAAGCTGTATCCGAGGGAACCTTATTTGTTATAATATACTATAAAATACACTAGGGTTAGAGTTGAAGATTAGATCTCATTGCCGATAGACGTTTTGTTCGATCGCTGCGTTGTTTTTTTCGGTTGCTTTTGATAGCTATAAAGTACGGTGAAATGTCGAGTGTAGTAGCCGTCACGAATACAATTGCGTTCATATTCCCGAATAATGCTGCCCAGCCAACTCTACCGGAGATGGTCCGCTTCGTGAAAGGCCTCACCGGTGATCAGGGAAAAATGGACACGGCGTATAAGAATGCTGAGGAGAGGACGGTATTCATTAAGTACAAGTCCGAGGAAGGCATGAGGGAAGCCCTCTCTTGTAACGATGAAAGGAAAACGTTCCATTATTCTAATGGAACACAAGTGGAGGTTTGCATGTCGGTAGCGGGTTGTAACATCCAGTACGTACGGGTGTTTGACCTACCGCCGGAGGTATCCGATCGTGATCTTGCTGCTGAACTAATCAAATTTGGGAAAATTAAGCGCTGTGTGCGGGAAAAGTATCCATCCGAATATCAACTGGATTTGTTCACTGGTGTCCGCGGAATTTACATGGATGTGGAGAAAGAAATTCCACCAGCGCTCTACTTCCTTAGCAGAAGAGGAAGAATTTTCTACAGTGGAAATAAATTGAAATGCTTTGCTTGTAGACAAGAGGGACATCAAAAAAAGTCTTGCGGAAGGAGGAACGTAAAAATAACAAGAGACACAGGAGCAGGTGTCGAAAAAAAAAAAAGACGGGAAAAACACATTCGCTGCCGTTCTCGCAGGAACGAGTTCGTCAGAAAATGTCGAGAAGCAGGCAATAGATTTGGAAATAAAGATGCTGGAGGAGGAAGAAGAAGAAGAAGAAATCGGTACAACACTGGAGGCTGAATTGGATCACGGAAAACAGCAGAACAATCAACACAACCAGCAGCAGCAGCAGAAGCAACCGGTATTACACTACCAACCGCAAAAGCAGCAAAAGATTGGAAACTGGACTGAGCACGTTCAACTGCATACAAAGCTGCTGAAGCAACAGCAGAAACAACAGAAGTATACCAATGATAATTCACCGCCCAGGAAGACCTTACGTCCCAGCTCTTCACGTTCGGGTACCGGATCAGATTAGTTTTAATAATTCAAATGAATTGTAATTATTCATTCTCTTGACTCTTGGCTCCGTAGAGTTTTAATTAACAGTTGAGCCTTACAAATAAATTAAATGGATAAAAAAAAAACACTAGGGTTAGTTCGCCAGTTTTTGGACCTGTCTTAAATTTCACACTTTTAAGTTATTCACAAAATTCATTTCGATACAAGCTTGTTGATTATATCTCAAGTAACATTGGAAGTTTTATTAAAGCTTTACAGCATTTTATATGTCTAAATTGACGCTGTTGGGGGAGTTTGCTCGGCACTTGGAGCATTATGATTATTTTAAAATAATCGAGAGTTAATTTGTTTATTTATTCCAAGCAGAGTGCTTGCCTACGCTATTCTAAATAAAAAAAATAGTGGTAGCAGTTTTTTAAATGGTTATTTTGTTAATTGCTGTTTATTGAAAAGTTACAAAAATTTCCATTCTTTTTGTACCAAACTAATAAGTAAATAAAGTTTGAATGACATAGTGATAAGCTTAAATTTCACGTCAGCTAGCAACTTGAAAGAAATGTTGTGTACAAAGATGGATGGTTGCATATAATATTTGGAATATTCCTTATAATCTCATAACTTAACACGATCTAAATTGTAAACTTGTACGATTTATGACGCTCTATTTATCTGCATAGTTATAACATAAATTTACACTACCTTTTCAAACTGTGTATTATTAAAAATTAGTTGAATCGTTCGTTGTCTTTTAGTATCCTCTTTGATTATTATGCATTTCATAAAGGTCGTCTCAAAGCTCTACATACATTTGCGGATGCTGTATCATAGCATGTTCCAAGATTTTAATCACAGTATAGTCTGGAACGCGTAAACATTGGTCAACTTCAAGTTGATGTATTTCTGTTTAAAAAACCCCTGAAATGCTGCATTTGGCAGTTGAGTAAATATACAATGGTTGCTATGATGAGTTTTCACCGTTTGCTCTCCAGTTTTCAAAATGACGTCCAAGCAAGAGGAGCAGCGTGTCAAAATTTTGCTCGCGCAGCAAGAGAATCCGACGTTCTCATA